CCCCAAAACCCCAAAACCCCATGAGATTAAAATTTGTTGTATTACTTAATCTTCAAGTTATAAAATTAATCTATAGTGGTTAATTTCTTAATGAATGATCAATATTCTTTATCAATAGCTTGGAATTTCAAATATCATTTCTATTTCAGTCGTTTTTCGGTCTCTTTCTTCCACTGAGTCCGTTATACTTATCATAGTTAATTTATGACTAAGTGGCTGATCTCTTTCCTCCAACATCTGAAATTGGATCATCATCATCATCCTCCTCAAACAATGAATCTATAGACGATTCCTTGTCCTCATCGTCTTGAGCTAAAATAAACATATAAGTATTCATTTTAAGATAAAAATATACCTCTTTCATTTTAATCAGCTTCCTCTATTTAAAAGTTCAAGTTTAATCTAGTTGGAATAATCTAAGCTTGATTGTCTTCAAAGTCTTCATTTTCTCTATTATGCTTAAGTGCTTCTTGAACCTTTTTGCCATCATCAGAAAGATTTTCATCAACATCATCGATGTCATCATCATCCTCAGGAATAGCATCTTCTTCATTATCATCATCAAAGATCTCCTCAAAGTCCACGTCCTTTTCAGTAAGACCCTTCTTTTTCTTTTTGGGGGGCTTTGTAACTTCGTCAGAATCCTTATTTTTTAGTGCAGCGATTCTCGCACTATCTGAAAACAATCTCCCTTGAGTTTTACTCTGAATCTGAGCATTTTTCTCTATAATCAAGAGTTTTAAACATGCAAAGTACTGAAATCAGCTAGTCTCTTAGATAGTTGCTTCCTAGAATGCTCAGTCCTAGATTGCTTGATCTTCTGTTTCAATATATCATCATCTCCAGTTTGCTAATCTTGCTTAAGCTCTTCATTTGAGGCTAAATTTCTTTGTCTTCTATTATCAACCTCTAAAAAGAAATCACTATTTTAATAGCTATACATACATCTTTCAAATTTATAGTGCTTATCTAGTGGAGCGATTTAAAATACATTCCTCTTAGCCTAAATAGTTAAGCATTAAATACTATAATCCACTGATAATTGAGTTACATCATATATCATTATTGCATATGTTGCGTTCCCGCCAGAACTAGCATTAAAACCATCATCTTGGAAGCCTGAAAATTTCCTTGGTTCTTTATTATTGTCTGGGATCTCCTCATACAAGTACTTGAGCTTCGCATTTTTCTTTCTTCCCATTAGTGATTCGACTTAGACATTGTTTGCATCTTAAAAGCTACTCTATTGATTCCTTTCTTTTATATCACTCTATAAAGGTATTAAACCTAACCTATAGCAATATATAATACCTCAGTTGCCTCCTCTAAGATATGCCTTGGAAGTTCATAATCATCACTTATCTTAGAATTGAAGGTGGCAAGATGATATTTCTTTGAGTTTAGAGGCTTGCTCACGAGTTTAACTCGAATTTAACTTGTCATTTCTTAGAATAATTATACTTAAAGTTATAATAAAAGCTTTCAATTGAATACTTATACTTAAAACATTGACCAAGGGGTTTTGGGGTTTTGGGG